AAAGTGCTGGGATTACAGGCTTGAGCCACCGCGCCCGGCCTTTCAAATTATTTTATTTTCTACATATATGTGTGATACCCTCTTCATTTAGGGTGATTTTTTTTTCTCCCATAGATTTGCTACCGTACTTGTAAAGAGTTTTATAAGGTAACTTTAATTTGTAGTTGTTTAAGTGTAATAACCTTTTTGTTTTTGGCAGCTCCCTAGATCTTTAGCTTCTACTCCCACTGCTCCTCCCAGTCCAGCAGTGCCAGATAATGCATCACAGGAGGAACTCATGATTACGTTAGTAACAGCATTGGCTTCTCTTACATCTAGAACTTCTATGGGCATCATTATTGTTGGAGGAGTGGTAAGAAACATTTCTTTTAGTATAATTAAAATGGAAACATTTGCAAGGCTGCCTATTAGATCACAAAAGAAAAGATACGTGATGTTCTGTTTGTAGGATCTGTAAATAATAGGAAAATTTGCAGGTTAAAAGTAGTGAATTATCACAAGTCTTATCTTAAATTTTTTAAAATACATCTTACATCTTTAGGAATGAACCATCACCAACTAGCTGGTCTTTAATACTTCCTAAGCATTTTCGCATCATGGCACACAAAGAAACGTTTGTGCATTGGGTAATAAGAAAACCCAAGGTGCCTTATCTAGCCTTCTCTGAATATCAAGGGGATCTGTCTTAAGTATTAATTATTGTTTCTAGTAGTAGTTCTTACTTGTTTTTAAAAAATATTTATGTCATTAACAGCATAGATATACTTGTTTTGGTTTTTGAAAGGTCTGACCTAAAATATTTAACATTGTTTTATTTTTGAGATATAATTGAATCAGTTTGTCAGATCTGGCAGCTTACAAAGCTCTTGCTTATTTGTGTGCTGATCCCTTTTAAGCCTGATTGATTTCTGGTAACTTCACATTTTCTCATAGAAGGAATATACATTTTTAGAAAATGTATCTAACTCAAAGATCTATAGGGAACTAAAATGCTTTTAAATATTCTCTCCCAAGTGGTGTTTTTCCTTCTCAGACTAAGCTGTTACTTTATCTTACAGATTTGGAAAACTATAGGTTGGAAACTCATATCTGTTTCATTAACTATGTATGGAGCTTTGTATCTTTATGAAAGGCTGTCCTGGACCACCCATGCCAAGGAGAGAGCCTTTAAACAGCAATTTATAAACTATGCAACTGAAAAACTGAAGATGATTGTTAGCTCCACTAGTGCAAACTGCAGCCACCAAGTAAAACAGTAAGTTGAAAGGTGTATCTTTGTTATAAAAAAAACTTACTGACATACGACATACAGACAGAAAACGCAAAGAATAAGTGTATTGCTCAAAGAATTATCACAAAATGAACATGTTTCGTGATCTTCACCAATGAGAAAATAGAACAATACTAAACCTCACTGCTGCCCCCTCTCTCTCCTAATCACTGTTTTTCTTGCCATTCTCCTGATAAATTAGGTTTAAGTAGATAGGAACTTTCAAGAACTTTGGAGGGGTTTAAAAAGATAGTTGTTAATTTTGTTTTTGTTTTTTTTTTTTTCAGAGAGAGAGTCTCTGTCACCCAGGCTGGAGGGCAGTGGCGTAATCATGGCTCAGTGCAGCCTCAAATCTTGAGCTTGAGTAATCTTACTGCTTCACCGTCCCATGTATCTGGGACCACAGGTGTGCACCACTACACCTGGCTAATTAAAAAATTTTACTGTGTTACCCAGGTTGGTCTCGACCTCCTGGGCTCAAGTGATTCCCCCCTCCTAAAGCCTCCTGAGGAGCTGGGATTATAGGCATGAGCCACCATGCCCAACTCAAAAGATCGTTCTTCAGCAGATGTATTCTAAATTTATGTACCTGGCCAGACAAGGTGGCTCACACCTATACTCCTAGCACATTGGCAGGCCGAGGCAGGTGGATCACTTGAGGTTGGGAATTCAAGAACAGCCTGGCTAATGTGGTGAAACCCCATCTCTACAAAAAATATAGAAATTAGCCGGGTGGGGTAGCGCCTGCCTGTAATCTCAGCTAGTTGGGAGGCTGAGGGATAAGAATCGCTTCACCCTGGGAGGCAGAGGTTGCAGTGATCCAAGATTGCACCACTGCACTCCAGCCTGGGTGGCAGAATGAGACTATGTCCCAAAAATAAATAATTGCCCTTAAGATACTTGTGATTTTTGTTTGTTTGTTTTGAGAAGGAGTCTTGCTCTGTCACCCAGGCTGGAGTGCAGTGGTGTGATCTTGGCTCACTGCAACCTCTGCCTCCCAAGTTCAAGCAATTCTCCTGCCTCAGCCTCCTGGGTAGCTGGGACTACAGGCATACACCACCATGCCCAGCTAATTTTTTGTATTTTTAGAAGAGATGGGGTTTTACCATGTTGGCCAGGATGGTCTTGATCTCCTGACCTCGTTGTCCACCCGCCTTGGCCTCCCAGAGTGCTGGGATTACAGGTGTGAGCTACCACGCCTGGCCCCACACCCAGCTCATTTTTTTTGTATTTTTTTTTTTTAGTAGAACCAGGTTTTCACCATGTTGGCCAGGCTGATCTCGAACTCCTGACCTCAAGTGATCCATTCACCTTGGCGTCCCACAGTGTTGGGATTACAGGCATGGGCCACTGTGCCCGGCCAGATCCTTGTGGTTTCTTAATAAAGAAAACTGAATGAAGCTATGCAAGGTGGCTCACGCCTGTAATCCTAGCACTTTGGGAGGCCGAGGTGGGTGGATCACCTGAGGTCAGGAGTTCGGGACCAGCCTGGCCGTCATGGTGAAACCCCATCTTTAAAAAAAACAAAAATAAAAAAAGAAAACTGAATGAATAGAAAGGTAGATGGCCGAGCCGTCTCAGAAAACTGAATGAATTCTTAGCATTTAACAAAAGCACTTTATGGTAGGCAGACTCCTCATTTTTTGGTGAATGTAGTTTTGCTCTGGCAGTTCCAATTTATAAGTTAAATGCTATTTTAATTTTAGATCTCAGAAGAATTTTATTATAACATATACCTAAGTCTACCTGGTTTCTGCTTTTATGAAACTTAAATATTTGTTTCATTCATGTGGTAAAAATACATAGAACTCCAGTTAAGTCAAAGTACACTGTTCTGTATTTAGATGCCTCTGAGAGCAGAATTTAAAAATTCTTTGAGTTCAAGATAACTTCAGTTTAATGAAAGTAACATTTATATAATTATAATACAAAGTGACAGTCATAAGAAATATAAGAAAATAAACTTTTATCATAAGGCAAGGCTTTACAGGTTGCTTAAATCTTGAAGGATAGTAGATCAGTAAAGGTTTCCTAGAGGAGATATGTAGCATATGAGATTTGAACATTCAGCATGCAGGTGGAGACAACAACCCAGATGCAAAGCCAGAAGGTCAGAGGAGAGGAATGTATTCACGGACATGAAGAGAAGAATTTCAGTGTGGGAGATGTGTATATAAGCTGTGTACATACTTCCACATATACTTCGCAGCAGGATGTGGCCTTGTCTATGTGTGTAGATTGGGTTTTGGATAATTAGGAATTCTGAGAGTGATGTCATCAACACTTAGCTATAGAACAAATAACTTAGCAGCAGCGTATGAAATTGTTTAGACTCGGGAGACAGGAATTTCTGGGACAGCAAACTGCTTCAGATACAAAATCAAAGTCTGAGCTGACAGTTAATAATTGTAGAGAATGAATACCAGCAGACCACAGATTTGAGGAATTTGTTCATTTATTAATTCATTCATTGACCACATTTTTTGAGCCTCTATTTTATATGGTAGTTTTAATTTTAAATTATATTAAGGATGAATTTTTAATTAAGATACTTTGACTTCTGAAGAAATCAACTGAAATTCATGTAAATAAGAACAAAGTTAATGTAGTTTCCATGCACTGATTATCAAACATTTAATTGCCTCCCATGCAGCAGTTCACACTAGGGGCTATGGGAATTAAAATCTTGACTTGATCCTCTTTCTTAGAAGACTTTGCACTTTAGTGGAGGCAACTTCAAATAATTTCTCAGTCAAAATATACTAAGTAAATATTTAATATTTAACAAAATATCAAAAGAATGAAGCACATGCTTCATCTGTCTAATAGTGGTGGAATGGGATTTGGTGGAACGGGAAGAGGCATGCTCCCATTTAAAAAATATAAATGTAATGTTTGTCAAAGTTAGTGTATTAATTAGCTCTCAAATAGAACCCTTTGTTTCTAGGTATGTGGTTACATTTTGCTATAATATAAAATGTTTTTTGCCTGTGTCACAAAAGTTCATGGAGTTGTTCCTGTTCTTGATAATGTCTTACTTTCATTGGGCAGGGGACCAGGCATGAGTAAGATGTATGGTACTTCTGAAGAAATGCACCTGTCTTTTGTCTTTATGTGGCTTATTCATGTTCTCAGCCATATAGCAGAGGTAGTATCGTCTCTTGAGCCAGGATAAAATTCTGTCCACTAGAGCTATACCTTCCCTCTTAGCGTTCTTAGTGTCCTGATTCCCTGTAATTTAGAATTTTTAAAAAACTTGTGTTCTCCTTTTTTATGTGAGCTTTCAATTAAAGCTTAGTCATTTTTGAAGACATTTATGACTGCTTCTGAATTTTTATTTTAAGACAAATGGCTACCACTTTTGCTCGTCTGTGCCAACAAGTTGATATTACTCAAAGACAACTGGAAGAAGAAATTGCTAGATTACCCAAAGAAATAGATCAGTTGGAGAAAATACAAAACAATTCAAAGCTCTTAAGGTATTTAAACGTTTTTTCTCAATAATTTGAACATTTACTGGTCTCATTACCAAAATATGTAAAATTACTAATGAATTTGTATTCATACCTTTTTTTTGTGTTGGTTTAAATGAAAATTGTCCATATTTAATTCCACGTTTTGCAGTTTCAACGAAGACTAGTTTTAACAAGAAAACAAATCTGAGTCTAAAGGAACTTTATAGATCCAAACTTACTCTTCATTAGGCTATATTATATATTAGTCCCTTTAATTATAGAACAGAAGTGTACAATTAGAAGTGAGATTTTAGTTGTGTATGTCCAAGACCCATAACTTTTGTTTTCATGGGGGACTGTTGATTGGGTATACTTAAATCATAAAACAGAAGTCGGATTTCCTGATAAAATGTGGATTTCTGGTTTGATGTGATTCATTATGGAATATTTGGGGTCTAATTAAATCTGCTTTTGGGACAAGACTGAAAGTGTCACCAATTAGGTCTATAGTTGGGAATTCTCACTCAGTGCTGGATAACTTACTTTGAGCTTTCTTACTTTGACTTCTCATCCATGAGCTGGCTTGTCAGAATGTCTTTGAAAAACCATGAAACCTCATTTAGTCTCTGCTGTTACTTCTAGGACACGTACTACACAAAGTTGCCGGTGTAAGAACAGCTTAGTAGTCAATGTTTACAAATTGAAGGAACTGTCTTTGTGACGTGGATTTGGGGACATGTATTTAAAGCACCCATAGTAGTGATTAACTGTCGTGTCTTCATCAGACACATGTTCATTGCACTTTAGTTTCAAAATCTCTGGAAAAGATGACTACCTATCACTTAGATTGTCCAACCTCACCCACCCATGTGAATTTTATGTATTTAGTTGCTCCTATTTTAAGTTAGACCATCCCAAATATATCTCTCAAATCTGGTGAAACTGTGCAGTAGAAATTGTTTTTTTGTCTTTACCTAGGTAAGTTTTTGTGATTTTTTGGTTTTGATTTATTCAGCTTTTGAAAGATCTAGGTAAGTTTTTAAGTAGTATTTCATTTTTTGGCCTGCTAATTAATCATTTTTCTTAAAGGAAAAAGTTTAAAAAAATGACCATAGTATTTGGAATCTCCATTTTTTACTAGATTAGGACCAGCCATTTGGGTAGAATTTAACTTGCTAACGCTGCAGGAGAGCTACCTCAAGAAATATATACAATAGAGTTCAGAGCTTATGTACTCTTCACTTGTATGACCTGAAGCATATGCACACATGAACAAAGTAAAACAAGACCCCTTCCCCTTCTCCATGACGGAGAGAGTCCACTCAGTGAGTGTGTGCCTGGCATCGTATGAGAATGGGAAACAAGTCTGTTTCTCTGTCAGTTTTAGTTTCAATTTTCCTGTCTTGTGGGCATTTGGCTGCATCAAAGATAAATCTAGTGTTTAAAGGAAATCTTTTTGGTATGCCGTTGCCACTGTAACATCTGCTAGTTTCCTTGTATGTCCATGAGAAACACTCTGTACTTTATGCATTATGTAAAGGGAATGTGCAAACACAATCATGACTGTACGTAACAGGATGTAACTCCCGTACAGGGTGATACGATTCCACTGTCTAGTATGCTCTTCGTTGTTTATTATTAAAGTTTTTGTCTTTTCACAATGGATGGAATGCATCTTTTTCCTTGACCTTTGTGGTAATTAGATTGGTGTTTCTTTTTTTTTTTAAATTAGAAATAAAGCTGTTCAACTTGAAAATGAGCTGGAGAATTTTACTAAGCAGTTTCTCCCTTCAAGCAATGAAGAATCCTAACAGAGATTGCTTTGGTGACCACGATAGGAGGAAACAAAACTTGTAAGATTGGGACGGTTATTTTTATGAAATGACTTTAAGTATGAATTATACTAACTGTACCTAAATAGCAAAGCCCTGTGTAGATTCTGATAATGGTCTATCTCAGGGTATTTGTGTTTTGGAGAGTGTTATGTCCTTAGTTTTAATTTTGGGTAAAGAAAAGGCTTAAATCATGAATTAGTTACAAGCAACAATACCAACTTATGTGACCCCTGAGGGGTGGGGCTGTGAGCTCTTAATTTGTTTTTGATTCTGAAAAACTCTGCTTCCTGGCATCCAGGAGTTAGAGATTGAGCCTCTCATCTTCTTTCTCAAAACTAGTTTTTGATGCTGTCTTTCATGGGAATAGTCACTTTTTAATTTTATTTAATAAACTGCATTGCCGGAATCACCAAGGAGTGTGGAATGTTCTTGAGTGTATTATTTCTGCAAGTTACAGTCACTTTGCTGTCATGGCAGGTATGTGAACCACTAGTAAATATGCTGTCTTTCTTCCCATTAAAACTGATGTAAAACAGAATAAAGGCTTGTTGTAGTCGCTTATAAGTATCTGGGTCTAAATAATTTCCTTAGTTGTTTCTAAAGAAACATTTTCAGTTTTGCTCCAACTATGATTCCTGTAAGAAAAGCTTTCCTAGCTCAATTTTAGGAATAAAGTTTGAAGAGAGAAAAATACCCAACGATAGGTCTGAATTTTAAATGATAACAGTGATGTTTTTAAAAAGCTGTTCTTTAGGAGGTATTTGCCTAGGATATTGCTGGATTATACCCCATTGGAGGCTTTTACTTTTTATTTGTATGAAATTTTTAGGGTTCATTAAAAATTATTAGTGTATTTTTTACCTTAATACAAGGTTATGGGGTCAATTATCTTTCTATATTAAAAAGTGATTGAGTCTGTACACATGTAAATTACGCCTAGTAGAGGTTCTGTTGACTTTCTTCCCCAATGTGGAAGAGAGGCCAATTTTGCCACCATTTGCATATTTATTTCAGTATTTCTGATCCATAAATGTAAAATTTACAAAATTCTGCCTTGAGCTGTAAAAATGCCTCATCAGTTTCCTCTTTAATAAATCAAATAGTCTTTAACTGGTGTTAAAAAAAAATTGGTTGACAGATGGAATGGAAATGTACTAAAATGACACCATTCTAGGAATTTGCTAGGCAAAATACAGGACTACCAGATAAGTATCACCTGGACGCTGGTTAGAAATACACAGTCCCGGGGAACACAGTACCTTTGGCCACGTGTAGCTTATGCTTCCTTTCCTAGGTTCTATTCAGCTGTTTTACAGCAGGTGTAACTCTTTTTCAAGATGTCTTCAAGAGAAGATAACGCTAGGCCACTGAAGCCTTTCAAAAATATATTTTAATGCAAACTGATACTAGAATGCAGTATACTAATGGAAATTAATTTGGGTTTTTTAGCTTTTATTACTTTTTTTTTTTTTTTTTTTTTTTTTTTGAGACGGAGTTTCTCTCGTTACCCAGGCTGGAGTGCAATGGCGCGATCTCGGCTCACCGCAACCTCCGCCTCCTGGGCTCAGGCAATTCCCCTGCCTCAGCCTCCTGAGTAGCTGGGATTACAGGCACGCACCACCATGCCCAGCTAATTTTTTGTATTTTTAGTAGAGACAGGGTTTCACCGTGTTGACCAGGATGGTCTCGATCTCTTGACCTCGTGATCCACCCGCCTCGGCCTCCCAAAGTGCTGGGATTACAGGCGTGAGCCACCGCGCCCGGCCTTGTTACTGTTTTATAACCCAAGAAATGGCACAGGCCACAAAATGTGGGATTAGGTAACAGATACAACGTGGAAAAACAGCCTCTGAAATCTCGTACTGCTAATTGAGGTTACAGAGCTCAAGGCCGCGTAACCTTTATGCGAAAGTACTTAAACTTGAAAGTTCCTAATGGTTTGGTATCACCTCATTAGTATAGTTCAGTGGTTCTCAAAGCTTGGTCCTGGGTCATCAACATTACTTCTTTTTCTTTTTGAGACAGGTTCTCTGTCTGTCACCCAGGATGGAATGCAGTGGCGTGATCATGGCTCGCTGCAGCCTTGACCTCTCATTTTCAGGTGATCCTCCCACTTCAGCCTCCTGGGTAGCTGGGACTGCAGGTACATGCCACCACGCCTGGCTAGTTTTTTGTAGAGATGTGGTTTCCCCATTTTGTGCAGACTGGTCTTGAACTCACAGGCTCCAGTGATCCTTTTACCTTAGCCTACCAAAGTGCTGGAATTACAGGTGTGAGCCACCACACGTAGCCATAATCAGCTTCAAACTTAACAAGAAGTGTGGATTCTTGGGTCTGAACTCAGCATATGGAGTCAGGCAATAGGTTTGGGCCCAGCAATCTATGGTTGAACAAGCCAGCCGAGTGTTTCTGATATGCAGTAAAGTTGGGGTGCCACTGGTGTGGCAGGTTTGGTATGGCATCTTCTCCATCACTTGTTTTATGTAGTTCTACCTGATCAATTGTGAAAACATAATGAATGTTGGAAATGGAACAGTAAAATAATGAAACTCTTAGGCCTGGAAGTCTGTGCACCTGTACTAAGCCCATGAATTATACAGAAATTAAGTAACTATAAATGATATATTTCAAAGTTATTGCACATATGCCTGTTTTTTTTTTAAAGTTTTTAAAATCTTGGTATTTTATTTTTCTTTTTTTAAATTATACTTTAAGTTCTGGGGTGCATGTGCAGAACGTGCAGGTTTGTTACATAGGTATACACATGCCGTGGTGGTTTGTTGCATCCATCACTCTGTCATCTACATTAGATATTTTTCCTAATGCTATCCTTCCCCTACCTCCCCGCCCCCTACAGGTCCCACTGTGTGATGTTCCCATTCTGTGTCCATGTGTTCTCATTGTTCAGCACCCAGTTAGGAGTGAGAACATGCAGTGTTTGGTTTTCTATTCTTGTGTCAGTTTGCTGAGAATGATGGTTTATAGTTTTATCCATGTCCTCGCAAAGAACATGAACTCATCCTTTTTTATGGCTGCATAGTATTCCATGGTATATATGTGCCACATTGCTTTATCCAGTCCATCATTGGTGGGCATTTGGGTTGATTCCAAGTCTTTGCTATTGTGAGCAGTGCCACAGTAAACATACCTGTGCATATGTCTTTATAATAGAACAATTTATAACCCTTTGGGTATACACCCAGTAATGGGTTTGCTGGGTCAAATGGTATTTCTAGTTGTAGATCCTTGAGGAATTGCCACACTGTCTTCCACAATGGTTGAACTAATTTACACTCCTACCAGTAGTGTAAAAGTGTTCCATTTCTCCACATCCTCTCCAGTGTCTGATTTTTTTAATGATTGCCAGTCTAACTGGTGTGAGATGGTATCTCCGTGTGGTTTTGATTTGCATTTCTCTAATGACTAGTGATGATAAGATTTTTCTCATATGTTTGTTGGCTGCATAAATGTCTTCTCTTGAGAATTGTCTGTTCATATCCTTTACCTACTTTTTGATGGAGTTGTTTTTTCCTTGTGAATTTAAGTTCCCTGTAGTTTCTGGATATTAGCCCTTTGTCAGAAGGGTAGATTGCAAAATTTTTTCCTATTCTTTAAGTTGCTTGTTCACTCTGATGATGGTTTCTTTTGCTGTGCAGAAGCTCTTTAGTTTAATTATACCATTTGTCAATTTTGGCTTTTGTTGCCATTGCTTTTGGTGTTTTAGACCTGAAGTCCTTGCCCTTGCCTATGTCCTGAATGATATTGCCTAGGTTTTCTTCTAGGGTTTTTATGGCGTTAAGTCTTATGTTTAAATCTTCAACCTATCTGGAGTTAATTTTTGTATAAGGTGTAAGGAAGGGATCCAGTTTCTGCATATGGCTAGCCAGTTTTCCCAACATTTATTGAATTTATTGAATAGGGAATTATTTCCCCATTGCTTGTTTTTGTCAGGTTTGCCAGCGATCAGTTGTAGATGTGTGGCGTTATTTCTGAGGCCTCTGTTCTATTCCATTGGTCTATATCTCTGTTTTGGTACCAGTACCATGGTGTTTTGATTACTGTAGCTTTGTAGTATAGTTTGAAGTCAGGTAGTGTGATGTCTCCAGCTTTTTAAATTTTTTTGCTTAGGATTGTGTTGGCTATTTGGGCTTTTTGGTTCCATATGAAGTTTAAGGTGGTTTTTTCCAGTTCTGGGAAGAAAATCATTGGTAGCTTGATGGGAATAGCATTGAATCTATAAATTCCTTTGAGCAGTATGGCCATTTTCATGATACTGATTTTTCCTAACCATGAGTATGGAATGTTTCTCCATCTGTTTGTGTCCTCTCTCATTTCCTTAAGCAGTGGCTTGTAGTTCTCCTTGAAGAGGGCCTTTACATCCCTTGTTAGTTGCATTCCTAGGTATTTTATTCTCTTTGTAGCAGTTGTAAATGGGAGTTCACTCATGATTTGGCTGTTTGTCTATTACTGGTGTATAGGAATGCTTGTGATTTTTGCACATTGATTTTGTATCCTGAGACTCTGCTGAAGTTGCTTATCAGCTTAAGGAAAGTTTGGGCTGAGACGATGGGGTCTTTTAAATATACAATCATGTCATCTGCAAATAGAGACAATTTGACTTCCTGTCTTCCTAACTGAATACCTTTTATTTCTTTTTCTTGCCTGATTGTCCTGGCCAGAACTTTCAATACTATGTTGAATAGGAGTGGTGAGAGGGCATCCTTGTCTTATGCTGGTTTTCAAAGGAATGCCGCCAGTTTTTGTCCATTCAGTATGATATTGGCTGTGGGTTTGTCATAAATAGCTCTTATTATTTTGAGATACGTTCCATTGATAACTAGTTTGTTGAGAGTTTCTAGCATAAAGGGCCGTTGAATTTTGTTGAAGGCCTTCTCTGCATCTATTGAGATAATCGTGGTTTTTGTCCTTGGTTCTGTTAGTGTATATGCTTGTTTACTTTGTATGTTTGCAGGATTATTTAAACTCTGTATAATCTTTTTACATTAACGTTTTTTCAGTATACAAGCTTGCAAGGTGAAAATAAAACCTGTTTGCCTGATAGTTGACAAATGTAACATTTATACTAGTATGCAGTGAGTTTTAATCTTTCATTCTTAATCACTTTTACATATGTAGGTTATCTTGAGTAGACCTCTTTTGACTGCATTACTGTTGAATTCTTCTGGCCAAGTAGTAAAAGGGTAAGTAAAATTTACATACATTCATCATTAGTATAAGATGTCATATAGCACTATCAGAGGAGCAGTCAAGAAGTTTTCTGCTTTAGACATAACAATTTACAGGTAATTAGTACTCTTCACTGGACAACAGAACTAATATTCAAAGTGTCAAAGGGGAGTTTATTCTTGCCCTCTGCTTCAACCTGTAGTGCTGTGTAACCCTGCATGGACTTTTAAGTCTAAGAGAAAGAAACATTTTATTATAGAATAATATTAAACAAACAAGGACAGAAATAACCAGGAAAGCATAATAAACCTTCATCACCCCATTGCCCAGCTTCAAGAATTACCAGCTCACTGCCAAAGCTGTTTTATTTCCTCATT